CCTGGGGGCCCAGTTGGGTGTGGAAAGCAGCCGCCCTCTCCCCTGCCCCGATCATCCGACGTGACCAGATTGCGACTGGCTCTTCTCAAACTGTGGGTGGGTGAGAGAGTTCAGACTGCACGACAGCAGCTGGGCAGTGCATTTTATTCCCTTCCTTATGGCTGGCTTCAAGTGGCCTTGCAGCAGAGAGAAAATCCCAGGCTGATGAGAGGAGGGAGGCAACACTGAGTATGGCTCCAGGAATCCTGGTTTTCAATTGTTTCCTGCTCCCTCTGTTTGAACTTGGCACAAACCTCCGGTTCCCTTTTCAGAGAGGAAGCTGCAGCACGCAGCCCACCAGAAATGAATGCATTTAGGGTGCTGGGGTTTCTTCCCTGGCCTGCTGACGAATAATCTAACATCCTTTCCATTCCCTCTCCCTTTAATCTGTCATGACTCTCACAGACGTGCCCTGAGCAAGTAGTGCAGCGGGTGTCCTACACCGAGAGAGACCCTGACTTAGCTTCCCATGCTGTTTGAGACACGGGATTTAAATCCTGCCATCAGCGTATCCACCTGTTTCTTGACTCTGCGGGAGGGTTTTCCTGTTGCACTCATTAGTGAGGCTGCTCTGTTCCTCCCCCTCCCCCCCACGTAGTGTGAATCTGATTCATCGTTTGCCGTGACATGTCTTGCATGCCACTGATCCGGGCGGTGTAACCATAATATGTTGCTCTTAGGATCTTGGGGAAGCCAAGGCAAGAAGAGATTAAGGGTGCGTCTACACCCGCTGCTGGCCCATGCCGACTCGGGCTCATGGGGCTGTTTCATTGCAGTGTAGATTTCCGGGCTCGGGCTGGAGCCTGGGCTCTAGGACCCTGTGAGGTGGGAAGGTCCCAGAGCTCGGCTCGGCTACACAGCAATGAAACAGCCCCCGGAGCCCGAGTCGGCTGACACAGGCCAGCCGCGGGTTCTTCGCTGTGGAGACTTGTCCGTGGTCTCGTAGCAAGTCAGTGGCTGGGCTGCGAGTCGGGCCCAGAAGTCCTGACTCCTCCTTCCTGCTTCAGTCACTAGACCACACTCCCAGTCTCCTACTCTAACTAGGGATGTAAAATGTTCACCGGTTAACTGATAAGCCTCCGTTTTATTGGTAATGTATTCAATTAACGTTTAAACTCGGCTGCGGGCCCTACGCCCAGGACTCCTGGCAGCCGGGACCCGGGGCACACCTGGGGCTGGCAGGGGAGCCCCACGTAAAACGTGGGGATGCTGCAGCAAACCCCCCTCCCAACTGCACTCCTAGTTCCCCACCTCTGTTGTGAACTCCTGAATGGTTAAACGTTTAACCGATACAATTTGAATAGTTTAAGCGGTTACTTTTTTTTAAACGCTATTTGCATCCCTAACTGGGTTGATTAAAAAGCCCTTTCAGCAAAGGTACTGAAACAGATGCTGGCCTGGAATGGGACATTGAAGAATTAATGATGCCGGGAACTTGGTGGGGTATCGTTCCCTCCTCCAGGATACCTGGGCATGAGATCCAAGGCGCCTATACTCTATCTTGCACATTGCAAGCAGTGTTACCCCTGTCTCCCTCTCCTCCCCTTCTGCAGATGGTCTTCCGCCCACCGCTGGATTTCTATGACATCCTTATCCACCTGAATGCCAAGCAGCTCCCCAGGCACCTGGAGGGCGTGGACCGACCGGCGAAGTCGTTCAGCCGGGGAATGCTGAAGAGCGATGCTCCGGTCAAGACCCTCGCTTTCCCAGTGGTGGGTTATGATCCAGTACAGTGCTACCTCCAGGAGCTGAGGGTAAGCGTGGCTGTGGGCCTCAGGGGAGGGTATGCACGCATGTTCAGCTGGTCTGTGTGGGTATCTTGTGTGCAGATTGCTTTCACTGCAGGAATTGGATACTGGAACCTCTCCATCTCCTGCATATAGTGACTGCATCCCTATTCCACGGGAGTGGGGATGTCAGCCGGTGAAAGAATCGCCATAGCAGAGGATAGCTCAGTGGTTTGAGCATTGGCCTGCTAAACCCAGGGTTGTGAGTTCAATCCTTCAGGGGGCCACTTAAGGATGGGGCAAAATCAGTACTTGGTCCTGCTAGTGAAGGCAGGAGGCTGGAGTTGATGACCTTTCAGGGTCCCTTCCAGTTCTAGGATCTATATAGATAGCACCTGGAGCCCTGCGTAGGGACCTCACAATCCCAGTGCAAATGATGGCCCTAATAGTATCTTCGTGGTTCAGTTAATTTAATGTTTCTGGCCCCCTAACCTGGCCGTGGCGGGTGCTGGAGCAGTGGGATCACTGCAGAGAGCTCTCTGAGCGCCTGATAAAAAAGAGGAGTACAGAGTGTGGGGGGGATGAGTGGCTCACAGGACTGATCATGGGAGATGGCTGTGTCCATATCTAGGTGATGCTGCACATGATAGTTGTTGGGTAGCCTACGTGTCATGAGTCTGGATGCCGCAGGTGTCCACAAGGTGGAAACCACTGCAGCTGGCACTAATTGGCTCCTTAGTAGTCTCTGCAGGGAAGCTAAGGATTGAACCAGCCATGGGAACTGAAGTCCTTATTCGCTCATGGAGAACGGTCTCTGCAGGGTTGGTTTCAGGCACGTTAGCGAGGGGAAGCCTGCTCTGTGGATAAACAGAGAACATCAATGCAGCATGTTTCACCAGTGCACGCTGGCAAAGCCCTTATCGCCTCACCTGTGTCAGCCACCCAGTGGGCACGTGGCAGCAGCCTTAGTAGCATTCAATCTGGGCAGCAGATGCTTTGCGGGCATGCAACCCTGTCTCATCAGCTGCTGTGCGAGAAGCACTCTGGTTTGGGAAGGGCATGTGAATGGCTCCCAGCTTTGCATGGAAGATCATGGTGCAGAATGCGACTAGCAGGTGTGACACCAGTCTCCTGGCAATGGGGACTGGCCCAGAGGCACAGTAATGTTCATAGATCCATCCCTAGTACAAGACATGATGATCCCAGCTGAGGGTGATTTTCCTTCTCAAAGAACAGACGGATGGGAAGATGGACCCCCTTCTTAAAGAGGGACTTTGAAGCCTCTTCTGTGTATCCAGGGGGTAGACTCTTTGGGGAAATCCCTCTCCTGGTGTCTGGAAGTCAAGAGACTCATAGGTCCCCAAGATTTCGGAGCTGTGACCGCAGTTCTCTCCAGTCGATGTCCGTCTCAGAGAAAGGGGAGCTCATTCAAAAAACAGATTCATACAACGGCACGGATGGAGAAGGAGCTTTGACCTAGTATTAACTGGCTTGAGCTCAGAGCAGTTAGCTATCCCTGAGAGCACTAGCCGCAGAGTTGAGCAACGGAGATGTTCTAACGATGTCCGAGCACAAGCTACAGTAGCTTTTGTTAGCAAACATAGAGGCACCAGGTCCACAGCCATGTTACGAGAAACCAACCTGCTATGTTCATGGGCAGAAAAGAACCCTCTGTCCCTTCTGAGCTCTCGGCATAAGAGGAGAGTTATACACCCGGGCAGAGTGGTTGAGCAGACAGAGGAGAGAGCCAGAGAAGTGGAGTCTTCACCCAGAGGTCTTCGACTCAATACTCAGAGCCCTCGGTCACCCATTTGCTTCCCAATTCAATGCAGAGATTCCCACTTTCTGCCCCAGGTGAAGGGTTCACTGACCATGGGTGCACACTTTCCGTGGCTGGAAGGGCTGCTGCTGTCCGCATTTCCACGATTTGCAGCGCTCCCCAACGCAGTTCAGGGCTACAAAGCAGACAGCAGAGGTAATTCTGGTGGCCCTGCATTGTACGTGGAGAGCCTGGGCTTTAGACTTGGTGCAGCAGGCAGAATACCCTTTGTTTCTCCCACGCTGATGGGATCTTCTATGATGAGGACCGATCCTCCACCCCAACCCATGGAAGTTGAATCTAGTTTCTTGGTATTTGTGAGATTCCAGCTAAAACAAAAAAGGATATTCAGTGGCCCGTAGAAGCATGCTCTTAGCATCCAGAAAAAGCTCAACAAATAAGGCATAAGAAGGATTTGGTCCAGTTCTGAGACCGAGTGTAAAGACTTGCAGATAGATCCTATCAAGGCTAAGGTGAAATTCCTGCACCAAGGTCTCACATTGCTCTTTAAACCTCAAACATTAACATTTCAAGTGGCTGCAACCTCCGTATCTTCCAGACAACAGGAAAACGCAGGATCATGTCCCACCCAGATTTTTTTAGAGCAGCGTCTCGTGTCAACCCTACTCCAGTTTGCAGGATTTCCCCTTGGTACCTAAACTTAGTGCTAAATGGCTTACTAAGAACCCTTTGAACCTCTGTGATAAATGCTCTTATTTCCTTAAAAGTGGTTTTCCTCGTAGCACTCAACTCTCACTTATGCAAGAAGAGTTTCAGAACTGGGAGTGTCATCAGTAGAACCACAGTGCTGCACTTTCCATCAGGACAAAGTTTTTAAGAAGCAATGCAGCTTTCATGTCCAAGTTAAATTCAGTATTCCAGAGGGTCCTTCCCGTCTTTTTGTCCACATCCTACTGAAAACCTTTGGCATACCCTGGATGTTAGGAGAGAGTTGAAGATCTACCTCAAAGATACAAAAAAGTTCAGAAAATCACTGACTCCTATTTGTTTTATTCCATCTGTTGGCGAAAGGTCATTGTTTTATTCCATTCATTCAAGTCCAGGTGGATACAATGGTGCAAAACAGAAGTTTACAAGGCCAGAAACTCAGAGCTCCCCCAGTGGCTACCTCCTGGACTGAAAGATTTTATGGACTCTCTTCGTAGCGTGCATACGTTTACAAAGTATTACAAGCTTCTCAAAAGCAGTATTTGAGCAAAGGATTCTGCTTGCTGTGGTTCCACAGATTAAAAGTCTATTTACTCAGCTGCATAGAGTTTTGTTCTATCAAACCCTCCCTGACTGCAGACTGCTCCTGGACAGCCCACTGTAAGGGGTCTGTGGATCTTCTGTGTGCAGAAGAAAAAGAAAAACCTTTCTTCTGGTGGGCAGGTCCACAGACCCCGGACAGTGCGTCTTCTCCTGTAACGGTTTGCCGAGTGGCAGAACCAGAAGTCTCAGGGCAGGATGGGAGTGGCCAGCTCTTTGACGATCCTGGTAGGTTTGAGATGCTTCCACGCACTGAATTCTCTAAGGATTAACTAACAGTTATTGAACATAGTGAAATTTCTGAATTTCACTCCGAATATTTCCTACGGTGAAACAACTTTTATTTCTGCCTTAAAGCGATGGTGGGCAAATATATGTGCTCATCCATTGTGAGAGGAGGAAAAAGGTTTTTGTCCTGGATATGATGGAATCTGTGGACTCGTCACTCTAGAAGAAAGGAAATGTTTCTGTTCTGAATAAAGGCCTCGCTGACGGGTTCATCTGGCAAGTGGCTTTAGGAAATTCTCTGTTGTCACATTGCAAAACAAGTCCGTGACTCGTAGTATACAGGCAGATGTGTTGGTGGGTGCGTGTATGCATGTACACATACTCACCCATATATAGTTCCAATATTTCACCCACATTCTCTCTGAGGTTAACCTCAGCTAAGAGGATATGTATTAGTCACTTGATGTACTCTTTATTCTCCACCGTTTGCAACACCCTCCTAGAAATTGCAGAACAATGGTCTGTCTCCCTACAGAGTCTGTGGAGCAGTCTTCCAAAGAAAGGAGTGAAAATTCTGTCATGCAAGACCAAACAGTGCACCAGTAAACAATACTAGATGGAACAGCTCTCCCTTTGTCAGGGAGATGGCCCAATGGGGCTCTTCCACCTCTATCTTGTGCGATTCGCTGACTCATTTTGTTATGCTCATACAAAGTACATGAGATTTTTTTTTTATAGGGGAGAAGGCAATATGCTGCATTTATTGAGAATATAGCAGTTAGCATATGCATTTTAGTTACATATACACGTACACACTATTCACACAGTCCCGCCAGTCAATGTTTATAGTTACCAGTCCAGGGTCTGCATTAATTTAGTGGCCAGCCAGATTGGTCACAATGGGGAGCCGGGCTCTGTCGGTTGCGATCCGATGCTTTTGGAGTTGTGGCAAGACGAACCCAAAGCCCCATGGCAAAGCACCCTGTTTTTAATTGTGTGTGTGTGTGTGTGTTGAAGTCTATGGATTTTGCTGTTCGTTTATGACTGGTTACTTTTTAATTGGTGGTATTTTTTTGAGGTTACATTTTAAAGTACCTTTTGAGAGGGCCATTTTGATGTAATTAATTGTTTTGTTTTTTGGGGTGCCAGCCTTTACCTTGGGGTTGTTAATTTGCCGTCCCTTAGTTATGGATGTGCGTTGATGGTTCTTTGGCGTTGATAAGTTTGTTAAATGACCCCCCCCCCCACCCCTTTTTTGGGACCATTTGGCTCCAACAACGGCCTTTACACTTTTTTTTTAATGCATACACTTTTTATTTACACAAACAGGTTTTTACAGAGACCTTCAAAGATATACAAGCAGCAGTGTTTTATATTGAGCAAGAAAGGCACTAGAAATTAAACCTCACTAAATTTTGTGATTAAAATAGTTTACACTGTGACTTGGGCCTTCAGCATTTCTTTAATTTAATTAACATAAACACAATTTAAAATCCTATTTTTTACTTACTAGATCTTAAAACAAAAAGAATGACTAGAGGGTCTAGTTTGTAATGCATATAGGAAACGAGGCCCCATTTTTTTATAATACAGTTTATTCTAAAACAAAAGGTGACCATAATCAGTCATAAGGACTGTTCTGGTCTATCTCTGCCTTAATCAGTACAGACACTGGCAGTCTGTCAGATGCGTTTCTACCAATGCCCCGGAG